TCTTGGCTGGACTGTTCTGTGCTGTCAGCTCCCAGGATTATTAATTTTGATAACACTGAGAGCTCTTTAAATGCCCAGCTTTGATGTTTTAAAAATTTCCCTCATCCTTCCAGGCACACAGCCACCTCTCCTTTCACAAGTGCTTTTCATGGCTGTGACTGTGGCACGGGGACAACATCCCATTCATGGAAATCATCCTGGTTTTTCACTGGCAGGACTTGCACCACTTGACATCCCTGAACAGATGATCCAGGTGGTGAGACACGAGTGTCTCCATTTATATCTGATACCCTACAGCATCCAAAACATCCTACCAAGGGCAGACACGAAGGCTCATGCGAGAAGCAGCAACTGGAGGTGAAGTGAGACACCCTAAGGCACTTCCAGCAGTCTGGATAAAGAAGTCTTTGGCTTCTGACCTGCTCACTTTGGATTTAGGTGGATGTTAATGTTGGGTGCACAGTGCACGTGTCAGGGCAGCTCCAGGGTGTTCAGCTGTAGTTCATATCCCTTGTTCCTTTGTACAAGTGTATCTTCCTAATGTGGAAGCATCTTCCTAATGTGGAAACATCTTCCTAATGTGGCCCAGTCCTTGTGTCCCTGCTGTCTCAGCTCACAGCCTGACTTTGTGCTCTTTGCATGCACTGTCAGGAATATTCTCTCCCTCTTTGCTAAGTTTGAAACATTGGAAACAAAACAAGAAAGGGGAAAAGTTAATTTAAATTTTCAGCACGAATGGAGTGACAACATGTATGTATTTCCACCAGCAGGGAAGTGTATGGAACTCCTCTGATCTGCACAATTCCTCCCACGAAATTCCTTTCCTGGGCCTTCCATAAAAGCGATCAAAGCTTTACTGAAACACATGACTCTAAAATTTGGTGATCTGGTTTACACACATAACCAGGGCTGGGCTGGAAGCAGCACAGATGTGTTCACCTCCTTCTCTGCTCAGGTTTATGTCCTAACAATGGCTTTCTTAATGGAACAGATCACAGTAAAGCAGAACCTTGAGAGCATATTAAAGTCAATGGAATATATAAGCTGTAATTTAACGTGCTTGTTAGTAACATTACCGTGATGTCAAGGGAACAGTGAAGAGTTAAGTCCTACAAATTACACACAGCATATGCCAGTTTATTTTTTTTAGTGGTTGCCTTAATAAAAATAAAGGCAGAAAAAGTGAAAGCTCTGGATTTGTTGGACATCTGTAGTGTCCCAGCCAGTTGCTTTTGTCTTTTTATGTTCTCTCAGAACTGAACAGACATTCATTATTTTTGCTGTCTTTGTATCCAAACAAATAAACACCTTTTTCTAAACTGATGTGAGTCAAAATCTTTCACTCCATGGAGAGCAATAAGCTGTTCAAAAACGTGAATTTCATGAGCCGTCAATTTGGTTTCTTGATTTTTTTCTAGTATGTGTCAAAATACTCTTTAACTGCTCGTACCGCTGATATCTTCTGGGAAACTGAAACCAGACTGTCTCTACTGAACACAGGAAATTGCAAATGTCCTTGAGGCAAAAGAAATGGAATCAGGAGGCCCTGGAGTTCAAGCTTCCACTTCCATTTGAATTGGGTTCTGCCGTTCAGTTGTTGAAGACTGACTTGACAGATTAAAGACTCTCCCAGTGAACAGTCAATGGAAAAACATCAAACCCGGGGATCCTTTCAGGAAAACGAGCATTAAAGCACCTCTGCATTCAACAGAGAAACCTTTTGCTGTTAACAATCCAAACCTTTCTGTGTCTTCTGGGATATGGAATTGCTCATTAGCAGAGCTGACAGGCAGCTCCTGTTCTCTCCCCTGACACTCAGGTTAATGTTTCCTCCCTTTCTTTGCTTTCTCTCTCAGTTTCCATGTTCCCCAATATTAATTCTCTTTGTAAATCTGTTGATGAAGTGCTACAAAAATGACATGCAACTCATTACGGAAAGTCACATCAAAATATTCTGGCAGCAGTGAGAGCTTAAGGAAGGTTCCAGGGACAGGTGAATCCCACGGCTCTGGTGCTCCCTCTGTGCCCACCTGTCTGAACCTCCTGAGCCAGAACTTGCTCAGATAGGATTGTATATAAATGTAGTCAGTTCAGTCAGAGCCATCTGACTGGATGTGCCTGTCTGCAAGGAAAACAGCAACATCTGAGCTTTTAACCTTAGGTTTTCTTCAGAATCAATCCAGTCCTGGCTTTGATACACCTCTGGGAAAGGAGATGCCAAGAATAGAAAGGATAAATCACACTCTTTTGTATTTTCACTATAGGTTGAATTTAAACCCTTTCAGATGTCTCTGATTACCCCCCTAGGACGTGGGCATGGTGGGTTTCTTGTCATTCTTTCATAGATTCATAGAATCCCAGGATGGTTTGGGTTGGAAGGGACCTTAAAGGCCATCCAGTCCTACCCCCTGCCATGGGCAGGGACACCTCCCACTATTCCAAGTTGCTCCACACCCTGTCCAACCTGGCCTTGGACACTTCCAGGGATGGGGCAGCCACAGCTTCTCTGGGGAATCTGTTCCAGTGTCTCACTAACCTCTGTCCTATGATGGATTTTGCATGAATATATGCATATATAAATATATATATAACTCCTATGGCATTTAACATACACAATTTCAAACTGAGAAGAGTTTTTCAAATTAACAATAAATGTGTGGGGAAATATTTCCTTTTGTTTAGTCACGTCCTGCTTGCATAGACAAAGTATTATTATTACTATTAAAAACAATAAAAATAGTATTACTAAATGACAGTTTCTCTAATCTGTACATGGTGAACTGTATAGAAACTGCCACATTTATGTATTGAGACAACCCCTGGACACCCCTTTCAGATCTGGGCAGCTGTGGAGGGTGAATCAGCACTAACAGCACAACTCTGGTTTCTCTTTTATCTTTTTAAAAGATATTCTTAAATTCTGAATGCCAGACAATGCAATTTTCTCCCTCTTTGCTGAGGCTGAGGGGATGATGTAGCAAAAGCCCTTAAGTTCTTGGGAGATCCTGGAGATGTGTGACAATCAATCTTTTCCAGGCACTCGGGAGCCCTTAGAACAGAACCGTGTTTGTTTTGAAGACAAACAAATCTAATATGGTTGTGCCTGGTGGTGAACCACGGGGGAAAACAGCTGGAATTTATTGCTGGGATCTTGGAGATGAAACTGTGTAGCCTTATCAGTGCCCACAACGGGTGGGAAAAGCTTTTCAGGGGAGGTACATCAGGAAACTCTCTGTCCTTGACATAGGGGTGGTGGCTTGGAACGTTTGCAGGGTCAAAAGGGTTCAAATGGCTCTGTGCAGCATCACCCAGGCATCACCAAACTGGGCTCATCATGAACTCATCAAAGGGTTTGGGTTGGAAGGGACTTTAAAGCTCATCTTGTTCCACCCTCTGCCATGGGCAGGGACACCTTCCACTAGCCCAGGTTGCTCCAAGTCCCATCCAACCTGGCCTTGGACACTTCCAGGGCTGGGGCAACCACAGCTTCTCTGGGCAACCTGTGCCAGGGCCTGCCCACCCTCACAGGGAAGAATTTCCTCCTAACACCTGATCTAAATCTCCCCTCTTTCAGTTTAAAACCATTCCTCCTTGTCCTGGACTGTCTGCCTATGTGAACTTTCCTCTCTTTTTTACCAGCCCCTTCAGCTCCTGAAGGGATTGCACTTGCCCTGGGATTTGCTCTGAGTGTGCACTGAGTGTGTGGTGGCACTTTGGTGCATCGGTGACCCAAACTGTTCATTCCTGCCCCTCTGCGGGGCCCTGAGGGAAGAAAAGCTGAACTGTGCAGATGAGGGCCCAAAACAAAGCACAGCAGATTGAATTCCGGTCCTATATTCCCTATTTGCTCATTCCTAATTAGCAGGTAGGGGGAAACAGATCCCCTGCCAGGTCCACTCCAGTCCCTCTGGAGTTCTCCATCATCCTGACTGAAGGAAAGGGAATAGGGAATATGAAAGAGCAGAACTGCTCCAGTGACCCAGGATGGCCTTTCCCACTCTGAGCCACCGCACTGCTTGTCAGGGTGATCAGCACTGAGCGTGATCTGAACCCCTGCAGTGCCACTGCAAAGTGATCTGATGACACCTGAGGGCCTGTTGCCCTTGGATTGCTGTTCCCTGGCCACTGGCTGCTGCAGGAATGAAATCCTGTGTTGGGTCACCTCTTTATTTCATTGCTGCTTTGGGATTGCCTGCATTCTGTTGGCTGCAAAGTTCCTCTTATAAATTATTATTATTATTATTATTACTATTATTATTTATTATTTTTTCCTTTCTTTCCTCCTCCTTTTTTTTTTTTTAACGTAGTGTGCTTAGACCCTTTAAGATAAAAACAGAAAGGAAAAAAAAAGAGAGGAAAAAATAAGTGGATCTTTATTTAACATTAATATTTAATTGGCATTGCATTCTCTTTACGCAGGAGAATTTGCCTCGTATTCTCTGGGTGTAAACGAAGGAAAAATGAGGAATGAACAGGGTGAAAGTCTAAGAGAAACAGCTTTTAATTTAGTTTAGAGTCCAGACTGAGGTTAATGGCTTGTGCAAAGACTCACAAGAAACAGGTGGAAGATCGAACTGAGCCTAAATTGATTTCTGATTCCTCATTAAATGATTTCTCTGTTTAGAGATACCCTTGTTCTAACTTCATATGAAGAAGAAATTCAATAAAATAAAGCAAACACATTAGAAATTACCTTGACAGGGACAACAATATAAAACCCCCAAATAATGTATGAGAATTTTAATTCATTATTTTGGCCTTAAACATGCTGCAAGAATTAAAAAGAAGAGTAAAAGAAAAGAAAAAGAAAAAGGGGGGGGGAGGGGAAGGGAAAGAAAACAATGTTTGTTGTCGTTTTCTCTCAGCCTCTAATGGTATTTTGATTTCTTTTTTTCTTCGTTTTTTTACAAGAGGACCTTAAAATTTACTGCTGCTTCCTGATGAACTCACTGTTTTCATTTTTTATCTGTCCTTTATTCACGTTTCCTCCCATATTTCAGGTCGCAGCAACCCACTCCAACTGCATCATTAAAAAGGAGCAAGAGACCTGTCTGGAGAAGATCCGGAGGGCGGCTGCCCTGAACCCTTTCAATGACTCCTCTCCGGGTGAGTTGAACTGATGGTACTGATGGTTTGTAAACATTTCCTGGGATGCCTGGAGGGGTTTCCAGCAAAGTCAGTGCAGACACTGGGTGGTAAGAGGTGCCTCGCTGCTGCTGAATGAGCGTGGAGAGACAGGAGAAGGACAAAAATTCGATCAGTGGGGATGTACCAGAACAGTCTGTGGTTATTGCAGAGGTCAGGGATTTGTTTCTTTACCTTAGGTGGTGGAGTGACATCTGTCTACAAAACTATTCCCCTTCCCCTCCAAAAAAAAGGGAAATAAAAAGAGACAGTGTGCTGGATGAAGTTCTGCTGGTGCAGGTGACACTGTACATAAGACTAAAAGCATCATCTTTCTGCTCTGCAGCAGCTCTTTCCCCCTCATCAGCTCAGGAAGAATTTGTGCATCTCTCACATGATCTGAAGACCTTTGCAGGGATTAAGGTTGTGATGGCTGTAATCTTGATGAAGGATTCTTGTGCTGCTGTTGAGATAAGAAACTGAGGCAGCCAGCAAAGAAGAAATTTATAGTTTAATATCCTGCCTTATTTCCTCCCGACTGCAGCAGGAGCTGCCCGTGCCCAGCACCACGGAGAGAAGGGCAAAGAATGACAAAGAAACTAATTGGAAATCAGGGTCCATTTTCTGAGTCCAGTCCAAACTGCTTCTGCTGTGACTGGAATTGATAAAACTGCAGACAGGAGCAGATAAAAACACGTTGTGTGTGATAAAAGAGGGGGGTTTCTCCCCCCTTTTCCTGGCCATGTATTTTAGCAGAGAAGTAAAGGAAGGCAGGATGCAGATATCTGTGTTACCACAGTGTCCTCTAAAGCAAACCATTCCAAGGAATATTTCTGTCAGAGTCCTCTTATTCATGTCATATATGAACTGGTTCTTGTTCTGCTTCCCAGTTTTGGCAAAAGGAGGAGATTTTGGTGGAACTGAGGAAAGGATGTACCCCAGGCAGTTCGTTTCACCCCCAGGGAGGTGGTTTTGAAACACCCTTTGTGCTTTACAGCAGAGCTTCCCAATGTTTTCCCAGTCCAGAAGTGGTAAAAGCAAGGACAAAAGAGGAAAAAATCCACCCTGTTTCTCATCCCCTACCCCAAAAATGATGTCAGAAGCTGACCATGAGCCCTACTCCTCATGCTTATGCAGTGACTGTTGTTTGGATTCAGGAATTCATAGATTTCCCCTGGTGAAAGGAAATCATTTCACCAGCCAGTTTGGTCTTTATCTCTCAAATCCAGAATAACCCTGACAGCTGGTGGACTATTGAGCCCCAGCTCCTCCCCCTGCCTGTTCCAAATTCAAGGAGCACAGCTCAGAGATAGAGGAAGTCCAGAGCCACTGGAAAGGCTTTTGCATCTCAGTGTGATTAAATCCTGTCACCCACTCAGGCAGGAAGGGACTGGATCCTTTCAGGCTCTCCCTCGGAGCAGAACCCAGCTGCTCTTTATCCTGTTCCCCCAGTATTTGCAGATTGAATCACTGAGAAGATTTTCCCAGGCTCATTGAGTATCTTTTAGTTGTTCACCACATCCTGTGGCAATGACTTCCACAGTTTATGTGGCTTTGGATAAAGAAACCATATCCCCTCAATGACATTGATCTCCCAGTGAAGAATTCTGGTGTATTTCTGGTTTGAAACCTGCTTGTTGTCCTTTTTCTCTACTTTTTAAATATATATTTTTTCTTATTTATTGTAGACATGTCTTAAATATATTCCATTTTACCTCTGGGACTACAACATTCCACTCTCCCTGCTTTAAGTCCTGACCTTTAGACTCAGCTTTCACTACACGAAATTTATGTCAAGCCAGATCCTGCCACTCTCATTCCCAAAAAAAAGCCTTATCTCCATAGCTAAAGGGTGGGACATCAGCAAAAACTCTACCACCTTCCTACTGTTTGTATTTTTTGAGAATATTTCACTCCAAAGCACCCCGAAGATGTAACTCTCCATAAAATTAAGCAGTCACAAGTGCAGTGTGTTGATTGCCCTTGATTTTCTCCCGCTGCAGACAAGCTGTTTTTTCTCTTGGGAGAAGTGAAAATTGCATGACATATTTTTTTTTTGTCTCTGTGTTATTCAGCTGTAGCACTAAGATTTACTAATGGTGGCAGGTAGTGAAGAAATATGTTATTAGCTTGTTTCCTTCAAAGAGAGAAAAACATAGGAAATAACTCTCTTGCTTGTCAGAAATAGCTGAAAAAAAGGGAGAAATTCCTCCTGACTGGTGAGAAAACTTCTATTTATTTAAGAGCAAGGAGAAGAACACAACTTCTTCTTTCCCCTTTTTGACTACTCCTGCATGAAAATTTCCATAGAACAATTCAATGGAAATTCAATATACCTTTTTTCTGAGAATTTCTTTCTCCTCGGGGGGGTTGCAGGGTATAAAATGGGATTGTGAGTTTTTAGGAGATCTTAGAGATTTAGGAGCGTGGTCAAGTTCCTGTGGCTTTCAAACAATCCACCAAGTGACCTCTGTAAGCAAGATCACTCAACTGCAGCCACAGGTACTGCAGAGCCAGGCTGGCATTGTATGGAAAACATCCAGCTCTGCTTTTCCAAGGCTCTGAAGTTTTCCCCTTTCCCTCCCACTCTGCCTCTCATGCCCAGATGTTTTCTCATTACTGTTTTATTCTTCACACCACTCTTTTCTCTCCTTCTCTGCTGTGCTTATAATGCTTCAAAGACAATGATTGCCCTGAGATTTTCTGTGTTAATTTTTTTTTCCCAGTAGTTTTCTCACGGCTTCTTCCTCCCAGATACTTTAAATATTTTAGGAATTTGTATGAAAAGGAATAAGGGGCATGTGTTGACCGTGTGTTTAACCATCACCTGCAGCCTGAATGAAAATGAGAATTTGAAGGAAATGAAATCTCAGCAGGACTCAAAACCTGACTCTTTCACTCTGGAGAAGGAAGTAAACTGATAAAGGGAAATAATGAAATCCAAAGGCAGACAAGAAAGGAAAGAGAGGGATGATTACTCCGTGGCCAGCTTCTCCAGGCAGTGGAGCCAGGCTATTTCTTACATCAGTGTTTCCAATCTCCTTTGCTTGAGTTTTTATCCCTGTTCTAGTGTAGAACTGCCCCTCTCATGCTGGACCCTCCTCTAACTGTCACCAGCCCTCAAGGTGCTTTCTGCCAGGTCAGAACTGATAAATCTCACTGCTGATCCACGTGCACCCTTCACATTTTTATTTTCTCCATCCAGACTTTTCTGACCCGTTCCCAACCCTGGGGCTGGGAAAGAATGACACAGGAGTTACTCAGATGTTAAATGGCAGTTTCCTGGGTTATGTACATTTAGCATGGCATTTATCTATTTAAACGTTGACACCTGCAAATGCACCTACACTGCAAGTCACCTTCCTCATGCTCTAAATAATCCCACTGCAGGTGCCAGCATTTGATGAGACAAATCCCCCCTGAGCATGCAGCTCTGTTGTACTGACTGGCTCATGCTGGAGGTCTGGATTACCCCAAAAAATCTGCACTGTGGCTTTTACCACGGTATGTTTTGATGTGCAGGTGAATTCTTCATGTCATCCATGTAGTGGATCTACAGTCAGTGACCTCAAAATGCAGGCAGGTGCTCAGCAGCCTCCAAATTCACACTCACCACGTGCCTGCACTGAGGGGAGAATCTCCTGGCTGTCTTCTGCTTGCTGGTGGGATTGTATCTCTCCTAGTTGTCACCCCAAGGGCCAGACACACTTGTCTGGCTTGATCTGTGATCTACTGACCAGTGGGATCTGATACTGCCCGTGGGGTTCACAGGATCACAGCCAGTGAACTCAGCACAAGAATTTGATCAGAAAGAGAAGTGCTGATGACTCCTTGGTGATTTTAGTGGTTCATGACTCACTGTCAAAATGATTTTTAACTTATAGCCCCTATTGTCTAATCCCACTCCTCCTGTCCTTCCTCTGAAGAATCTGGAAGGGCAGCACCATTCACAGATACCTCAAGGAATTCAAATGAAACAAGGATTTGAAAGGATGCAATGCCTTAACTTTGTCAAGAGGAATCCTCTGGGCAAGTTACCCTGGAAATCAACAGGGAAGGGCACCAAGGGGGTAGGAGATGAGGGTTAGGAGGTGATGTGGAGATGCAAGCAAAGGTTTTGAATTATGTTTCCATCCTACAAAGATGATGGAGCAAGTTTTTTTTTTTTTATAGTTTCATGTTTTTATTGAGTGTCTCATCAGCCTCTTGTTCTTTCAGAGCCTTTGAATTATCTGCTGTTATTTCCCCTGGCACCACTGGGAAGACATTACTTCACTGTGTGCCTGTGTCTGTGCTGTGTCTCCCTCACTGGCACACAAGAACAATAGGACTGGGATTGAACTCCAGCAATGAATTCCTAGAGTAGGAAGGGAAGACTGTGCCTACATCTTAAAGCTTCCTATGTGGCTCCTTTTTAATCCAGGATACAGACCTTTTATCTGCCAGAATACAAATAGATGCTTTGGGCATAGGTGCTTTTTTTTTGCACTGATGATTTATCCATGTGACACTGCCTGAAGTGTCTTCTGCAATTCCCATATCAGAGATGGCAGGAACAGGCAAAAATATGAAGGGAGAATTTAGGAACCCTGTGGTAACAGTCACAAGATATGTGTTTATTCTGACCAAACCACCTGTGCAACCTTCAGGACCCAAACTGTGATCTGACTTTGCTCTTTCTCAGGCAAATGCAAGAAAAATTATTTCTCTGATCTCTGTTTTCCAAGAACTGACTCATTCTTTAGCTCTTTGCTGAACGTCTCTGACTTTACCAACGTGCTTTTTGGAAGTTTTTGGAAAAGGGGGAATGGCTTTAAGATGAAGGAAAGTAGATTAAGATTAGATATTGGGAAACAATTCTTTCCTGTGGGGGTGGGGAGGCCCTGGCACAGGTTGCCAAGAGAAGCCTGTGGCTGCCCCATCCCTGCAAGTGTCCAAGGCCAGGTTGGACAGGGCTGGGAACAACCTGGGCTGGTGGAAGG